GCCCCCCCCTTCCGACAATTCATCATCCCAAAGGTACCGGCTCTGCTTCTAGGGCAAAACAGGAGCTCCCAGGTGACCGAGAGACTCTCCCTTTGTTTCTTCCTCCCTCCCTCATTCCCTCCCTTTCTGTTCCCATCTGCCAATCTGTCATCAGCCACCTTTGTCTGAATCCTGATACGTCCCCCGTACTCAACAGGCACTTACCCCACCAGCTTCATTTGATGTTCCAGAAGCCATGGCCTCCCTCCTCATTTCAATACGTCATTGAGCAATACATCAATCAGTTCACACAAATCGGTCACATTAAAAACCGTGGGAGAGATTTGGAGGACCATTAAGGTACTCCGAATATTCTTGTTTGAGGCTATGCATGCCTGAAAGTTGGAGACCTGGAACTACCCTTTGAGGGACTCCCTCTTGCCAAATTTCAAAATCAGATCCAGGGTATCTGTATGAATATAATATTTGGTCATACACATCTAGACTTTTCAGAATTTTGGAATCAGAAACAGACCTCACCTAAAATCTGGGGCTCAACCGGTGAGGGCAGGAGAGGGATGGGAAGAGCCACTGCCTGGCAGAACGACACTGAATCAGGACTCAGGCCAACGTCCATGCACTCGTCCAAAGGAACGGCAAACATAAAGGCTTGAATGCAACCGTTGGCCCCGGGAAGGTTAGATTCCTTGCACCAGAGGGGAAACCAATAAGTCCCAACCAAGCTCAGTTTCACTGATTTTAAGAGGTCCACCTTTGTTTAAAACATTGGATTTGGACAGAGAAGCCAAGAGGAATGAGAAGGAAAGGCAAAGGGGCTAAGAAGGGGGCTTGGAAATCTGGCTCCTGGTTGGGTGAATGGGGGAGAATCACAAGCTACATCAGAAGCATCTCAGCTCAAACACAGACAGCAAACGGCATAACTCACTTCTTCTTCCTCTCCTCAGGGCACCACCATCTTCCCTGTCCTGACCTCTGTGCTGTACGACAGCAAAGAGTTTCCAAACCCCACAGAATTTGACCCACAGCATTTCTTGAACAAAGACGGGACCTTCAGGAAGAGTGACTACTTCATGCCCTTCTCGGCAGGTAAAAAGGGCCCATCTCCCCCTTCCCCAATTGTCCACCTCCTTGGGGGTCATCCTCATCTCCCATCTTTGGGGCAAGGAGGCAATACCAGTGGGAGTCAATGTCAAATCTGATTTATCCTGGAAAAGCTTGAGCCCTCCATGGAGGTCTCAACATTACCTGAAGACAAAAGCTGCACATACACAAAGGGAAACTGCAGAAAGAGCCAGTTGTACAAAATGATAACAGTGGCTGCTTTCTGGCATTCACTTTGAAGGATGTCAAGTATTTTGAACATCAGCCCATTCCCTCCAGGCTTCCTTTGTTTGTGTGTGCAAATTTGATGTTGCTCAATACCTCTCAGTGTAGACTAAATACACAGTGTAAACCCAAATAGTACAGTAGTTATAAAATGTTCAATGGTTTAAAAATGTATTTTGGAAATGAAGACAGAGGTCACTTAGGGTTCTTCAGCAATGTAGCACTATGCCACTTAGCAAAAACTAATTTTAGAAATGTAGAAAACACAAGGTTGAAACATGGCACCTGCCCCCCATTTGTGCAATCAAACAGCATTAATGGCTACTGGCTGACAGCTCTTGCAACAGAGAAGGCAGGAAGTTGGGAGTTAGAAAGGGAGGGTCACATGGCAACCAAAGGGACTGAAACCGAGTGATCCAACATCAACATGTAGTTGACTTGAGGACAACTGCAGGGGCTCCAGGAATTCTGTCCGTGTGTACAGAAGTAGTAAATGAATTAAGCGTAATTGTACCAAACCATTCCAAATTGATTCAGGCTGGATCTTTCTCTGTCCTTATTATAGCCGTAACTTCAGCTTCAAATTCGGTTCCTCAGTGGACCAAAATGAAGAAATGAGCCAATAGTCTTTGTTATCCCTCTATTCTTCCGCCATGCCCAGGACAGTCCCTTGCCCTTCCCCTTCCACACCACAATAAGTGGGAAAGAGGCTGAACATCCTCTGGGAACAGATAATCTTCTCAGGAGATGTTCCTGAAGGGCCACATTCCCTGCATTTGAGCCCCTTGACCTTGTTGTGAGGTGTTCCCCCCAGCTGTTAAGGAAGCCCCTCCTCGTGCTTACCTTCCCGCCTTGGTTTCCCTTACAGGTAAACGGATCTGCGCAGGGGAGGGCCTCGCCCGCATGGAGCTGTTCCTCTTCTTGACCACCATCCTGCAACACTTCAAACTGAAGCCCCTCCAGGATCCCAAGGACATCGACATCAGTCCCCTCATGAGCAGCACCAACAACTTCCCTCGGCCGTATCGGCTCGCCGTTCTCCCTCACTGAGAAGGTGGACTCCGACCACCAGAAACCGCCCAGCAGTGGGCGTTTTATTTCAGCCTGTTTACATTTTCCAGCTGAGCAACAAAACTGTACATTTATGAACATCAGAGGGACCTTTATTTGGACAGAGGCAATCTATTTTCAAAACATGTATCAATTGTTTCCCCAAAAAACACATTTTGATTCCCTCCCCTCTTTCTTGCTCAACACAAACTTCATTCCCCCTTAATAAGTTTCCAAACCACTGCTTCCGAAAGCAGCAGGACATTTGGGGGAGTGGACTGTATTACATAACTGGAAGCCAGAAAATAAAATGAACCCATGAAAAAAGGGGTATCTGGAATATGTTTGGAGAAGGGGAGGGCAGGATTCTAACAGAAATTCGAAAAAGTGACAAGTAACGTTTACATACATATCAATTCCAAGCATTAATCCATAGGATTACCTTTTTTCACCAATCTTTCTCTTTTGCTCTACAAATTCTATCAGATTCACCTCATTGTCTGCTCTTCCCTCTGGAAAACCACACAACTTTACATTTTCCCCATCCTCCGTCTTCAAAATCAATCAGGATCTTATCAATCTCGCTCAATGTATTTGCATGCCAATTATGTTTTTCCACATTCATTTTAGCCATTTTTTCTGTCTCCTCAACTTTGGAACCCAGTGCTTTCAGATGCTTCTCAACTCCTGAAAGTGATTTATTCATCTCAGCCTTTAACTGTGATTAGCCAGGCAGGGCAAGGGTCAATGGAGAGGTGGTGGCTCAGCAGCGATGAAGGACCTTGTCCACCTCCGCGGACATCACAGGTTGAAACTGAGTAATTCTGAATGGACAAGGTACTGCGCTGGATGTCTCACCTCAATCCACTGTTTTAAGTATGGTGCAAGATCCCGGTGGATGTCCTACACTTTTGATTTTAAAAATGCTGCAAATTGGTCACAAGAAATACTAGATGTAGGCCAATTGTTGTGGCCAATTCTGGATAGTTTGTTGTGACGTGTAACACGTGGCCCCTGCTTGTTTCCCCAAACAAAGAGCTCACACTATGTCATCCCACCAGCTGACACCAGTTGTGACGTCCACTCCTTTGATGCACCTAGGTGTTGTGCATTCACAAAGGATTCAGTCTTCTCTTTCCCTCACTGCCACCAGTGGATTTCCTTTATCCATAATATAGAAGACTTTAGTCAAAACACTTGTCTGGTAACTGCCAGCAGAACTTACTTATTGAAGTGCATCAAACTTAATCATAATCACAGATGATCTTCAGATATTCATTGTATACAATCAAATCATTAAAATACCATATATCTTGCCACATAACCAATCGCCACCTGCCCTATCTATTTATCTTGACCAGCTTATCTCTATTAGTACCTGTTCCTTCTCTCTCTCTTCTCTCACTGTCTCTCTGACTATCTGACTATCTCTCTGCAAATTCTATCTCTCTTCTCTTTCTCTCTTCTCTTTCTCTTCTCTTTCTCTTCCTGCCAAACCTTTATATATCCACTGACTCTGCCCCTCCAATGCTCTCATAGCCTCTTGCAAATGAGATCCTGACTATGAGTGACAGGAGTGACATTGGGCAATCGTCACAGTTGTGTACTATATGGAAAAGTTCCAACTGCGGATTCCTATGCTTCGCTTATCTGGACAGTGAAGTAGGCTTTTCTAGCAGCCTCCACCTTAGTAATATAGAGGTTAGACGCAACCTTGGCAGCTTTTAAGTTATTTTCCATTGGGTACCACCTTCAGAGGCTCTCTAGTCCTCTCCTATTCTGTTTCATAGCCCACAGCTCCTGGTAAAATCAAGGTGCTGGTCGGGCTCTGCAGCAAAGAGGCCATTTTTGAATAATCATGTCTACAGCCCTGGTGGCAGTGGAATACCGGCCATCCACCAGAGCCTCAATAGGAGCGACAGACAGATCAGTTGGAATCCCACACATGGAATCCTGGAATCCATTAGGATCCAGTAGCCTGCGAGGCCGGACCATGAAAATAGGTCTCTGCTCCCTACAGGAAGGGAGTACCACCGTGAGGTTGCATTTTATCAGGTGGTGGTCCCACCACGACAAGGGGACCAACAAAGGTAAATCACTATCAAGCCACACTCTCTCTACTCAGCGGAAAAAACCAGGTCCAAATTGTGGCCACCCATGTGTGTGGGGTTGTTGGGACATGTCCAAGGAAACCATGGTTTCCAAGAACCCAAGAGCCAGACCAGTAACCTCCACCTCTGGATGGATGTTGAAATCACCCAAGACAATCAGTCTCGGGTATCCCAACAGAACCACGGAGACAAAGTCTGTTAGCTCTTGTGGTTGTTGTGGGTTTTTCAGGCTCTTTGGCCATGTTCTGAAGGTTGTTCTTCCTAACGTTTTGCCAGTCTCTGTGGCCGGCATCTTCAGATGCCAGCAACCTGTGCTCTGGTGTGACTATTTCAGTTAACTCTGGTAGGAAGATGGGAGGAGCACGGGGAGCACGGTGTGCCAGCAGGATTCCATTGCTGTCCCTGGCCCCCATCGACACGTGGAGCGCCTCTAGGCCTGGCATTGCCACAGAAAAGAGCCTGTCAACCACAACAGTGTCCTTGTAAACAATGGCAATTCCATCCCCCTACCCTCTGGTCTACCCTGGTGCTGGACAGCACAACTGGGGGGGACAAGCAGGAGACAGGGGCACAGCCCCTTCACTACCCATCCACATCTCCGCTATGCAAGCCAGATCTGCATCATTTTCCAGAATAAGATCTTGTATTAGCTGGGCTTTATTGCATACAGACCTGGCATTCAACACCACCAAAGTTAGAGTGGAGGGATGAGCGAGCTGGCTACCTGGAACCCGGCATCTGATCACTGTTCTTTTGGAATGACTAGCAGCTGCACCAATGCCATATCTTTCCATGCCCATCATCACCTGTATATTTTTGAAGCCCCCACTGGAAGGCAGCCCTTGCAGTACGGAGCTCTTTTGTTGTGGAAGAGCCCTTGTCCCAAACCAGGTAGAGAGCCATTGTTTCCTTTCACTTCCCCTCCTGCATGCGTACCCTGAAGTGCCATTGCTGAAACCAGGGGATGATGAGCACCTCCTTCCTACTCCCAGGAGAGCCTCCTTCCCTCTCCCGTCCTCTCTCTCTCTCTCTCTCTCTCTCTCTCTCTCCTTCTCTCCCCCGCCCTCTCTCTCTCTCTCTCTCTCTCTCTCTCTCTCTCTCTCTCTCTCTCTCAAGGGGAACATCACAAGGAGAGCCCCTTCCTAAGGATCCCACCCACCCACTGGGTTGGCCCACATGGTCCCCAAAGTGGCCCTTGCACCTTGCATTTGCACCCTGCGCACAGCTCCTCCTTTCTAACTGCCCCCTTCTGTTCCTCTGGTGGATCAGGACCCCTGACCATCTACCCTGTGCACTCAAACAAGAAGAAAGATACACACACACTGGGGTTGGCCCTTGATTTATCTTGATTTATCTTCCCTCCCCTGTTAATCAGGCAGGATCCTCCCTTTGTGGAAACTGAACTCTAGTGAACAAAGTTGGCTTGTGTACCTGGAAGAGCAGGCAGGAGACCCAGAGCAGCTGAACTCTGGTGAACTGCACAGAGATTTGATGATAAAGTTCCTTTCTTAGGCTTTGTTTTGTAGTTTGTTATATAACATAGGTTTTGTGGGTTTATATATAGTGACAGAGTTAGTGGTATTACCAGGGTTACCCCAGGAGGTGATAACCAGAAGAGCTTCCCAGTGATGTGAAGACACAAGCACCAAACAGTCTTGATAGCAGAATACTTGTATTATATACAGGATATGTACAGGTATATACACAGCTTAGTCCTTGTTCCAGTTCCAATTGTCATACACGGCACTTCCACAGAGTACAGAGCATAAATCATTATTATTATTTATTTATTTATTTTATTTATATCCCGCCTATCTGATCAATAGACCACTCTAGGCGGCTTACAACAGGGATAAAACAATAACTAAGGAAACTTATATAAAAACACATTCAACAATTAGATTGAACGCAAGGAGGGAAAAAAGAGGGGAATCAGAAATTGGCTGGGGGGGGAAGGCCTGCCGGAACAGCAATGTTTTTAGTTGTTTTTTGAAAATACCCAAAATCAATGTCAGAGTCCAGTAATGTCAATATACCATGCAGTCAGTCCGATCCGCCAGAGTTCCACTTCTCCCAAGCTCGCAGATACGGCTTCCACAGGATTCACCAGCATGACGACAGCACTCCACAACCAACAGCAACACCCACAACAACCCACAATGGTGTACGCTTGGTCTCCCAGCTATATCCCAGTGATTAGCCAATCCTGGGATTGTTCATACTGCTGATACTATTCCCACAGATGTATTAACTCTAGCTTAGCTTTACTTTACAGCTTTGATTCTTTACAAAACTTATGCTTGTTTGCCAAACTGCATTTAACAATTTCTCTCCAGGTTTAGCCCAAACCTGTCATATAGTTTGTTTTCAATATTATTATTATTAAGGTACAGGGTACAAAGAGTAAAGGGGGAAAGAAAAAAACGAGGGAGAAGAGAAACACAAAATGTACTGACATCCAATCTATTCATGTTGCAATATCAAATTAACTTTCCGCATTTCTACAATTTGATTGCCCTCCAGATTTCAACTTACAGTTACATCTTAGTTTAATTCTATGTTATTCAAGCACTATCTGGTAACTCAAGCCATTTCTGTAATAAATCCCATCGTCCAGTAGTCTTCTGTATTTGACAGTCTTTCAACACTTCTGATAAAATATCCATTTCTGCCACTTCCCGTATTTTCTCAGTAAGTTCCTCTTAGTACGGTATCACCGGTTTCTTCCAATTCTTGGCATAAAGATTTCTGGCTGCACTGACTATATATCTAACTAAGTAGTTCTTTGTCTTATCTATATTGTCTGGTATAATACTCAGTAGAAACAGTTCTGGGGTTAGTGGAACCTTGCAAACCAATATTTTTTCTAACAGAGTATGTACTCCTATGCAATACTGATTTGCTACTCTGCAAGTCCATCACATATGGTAAGAGCTTCCCTCGTGCGCTTCATACTTCCAACACACTTTGGACACCTCTGTGTAAATCTTTGACTCTTTGACAATTTTACTGGAGTCGTATACCACCTGTAAAACATCTTGTATATATTCTCCTTGAAATTAACCCATTTTTTGAGTTTTGTTATTTTTCCATATTTGCAACCATTGATCAATATCAATATTATGTCCTATATTTTATGCCCACCTAATTATACATTCTTTGCCCATCTCATCTTGCATTTTAATTTTTAACAAATAATCATACATTTTCTTAATTACTTTATATTTTGAGCCCAGCAGA